TTATCAGTCATCTCGTCCAGTCCTAAGTAGTCTTTGATATGCTTGCCCACCTTTTGAATGACATTGTGTAACATGTCCTTCTGAAGTATGTCCTTGATATTGCTTCTGGGATACCAGCTCTGATAATGTGATTTATGATAAATATTTGGTATTATTCCCCATTCCTGGCACAGAGATCCTAAAACTCTTGGAATTTCACAAATTATGAGAGAAGTAAATGTGTCTTCTGTTATGTTCGTGAGATGACTTTTATAAGACCCATAGGTAACCAGAGGATAACCTGGTTGCCAGGAGGGCTAACCATGTGATGAGGGGGTTGGAACTTTCATTCCCATCCTGATCTACGGGGGAAGAGATAAGGGCTGGAGGTTGAATCAATCACCAATGGCTAATGGCTTAATCAATCATGCCTATGTGATGAAGCCTCCATAAAACCCCAAAAGGATGAGGTTCTGAGAGTTTCTGGGTTGGTAAATACATGGAGATGTGGGAAAAGTGGTGGCTGGAAAGGGCATGGAAGTTTTGTGCCCTTTCCCTATACCTTGTCCTATACATCTGTTCCGTCTGGCTGTTCCTGAGTTATATACTTTTTTAATAAACCCATAATCTAGTAAGTAAATGTTTCTCTGAGTTCTGCAAACTGCTCTAGCAAATTAATCAAACACAAGGAGGGGCGTTGTGGGAACCTCCAAGCTATAGCCAGTCAGTCAGAAACACACAGATGGCAACCTAGATGTGCGACTGGCATCTGAAGTGGATACAAGAACCAGTCTTCTAAGACTGAGTTCTTAACCTGTAGAAATCTGATGCTATCCCTGCATAGTGTCAGAATTGAGTTGAATTGTAGGACACCTAGCAGGTGTCTAAGAGTTGCTTGTTGGATGTGGGGGAACCCCGCCTCCCCCAACACACACAATGTAATTGTGTCCTAGAATCATTTTATCAGCCTTCCCTAGTTTTTCTGGGTACTATCTGGCTACTCCTCATTTCCCAGATCTCTAATAATGGAGAGTCTCCAAGGCTGTCCCTTCGACCTCCTCTCTTTGTTAGCCATTTGAACTCTCCATGTGATCCCATCCAGTCCTGTAGCTTTAGATATCATCTATAGACTAGCAGTTACCAAGTTTACATCCTAGCTCTCTGACCACTCCCAATTGCCCATTCTATATCTTAAGCTGCATACCAAGTAAATACACTTAATAAAAGTGGATATCCAGTAAAGACCTCAAGCTTCTTTCTTATATGGTCACTGTTGTAAATACCTCATAAAGAAACAGTTTTTAAAAGTGACAGAATTAACTAGATGACAATTTAATGCTTCAAAATACGGTGCAACACATAAATCATAAATTCTTTTTCCTTTTCTTTAGATAAAGCAAAGAAGATTAGTAAATACTTTTTAAATAACATTATTTAGAAATAAACTACTAACCAATACACTGTGGTAATGACTGCCATTTTCCACTTTTACACACAATTTCTCTTGCTCCGTGGAGTAGATAATTTTCTTTGCAAAGAATAGCTACTTTTTCTCCATCCTGATAATTCACTGTGGTTAGCATATCCTGAGCATTAGGTATCTGAGGTGGAGGTGGGCAGAGTTGTGTCTCTTTTCCTAAAAAATATTGGAATTAACTTATTTGATTAATAAAATCTAAAGAAAACAGCTCAACAAGATAATATTTCAGTATATTTCAGTATAACAATTGTGTGTGTATGTATATTTTTATGTATATACATGATGCTATAGTGACAAATGTACTTTATGTTAACATAGTTTAAGGTTTAACAAGCACTTTTGGGGTACAACCATCAGATTAAAATTTCTCTGGTGTTCCTTCTATTTCCTATTCATTATTCTGTCTCTTGTACAAATTAACCCTTTTAGTTTTTTCTAGCTAATTTATATGATTCAAATAAGTTATGTACATGTTATTCAAACAAGTGAACACAAAAAAATTAAATTGGTAATAGTAATGAGAGAACCAATTAAGACTTCCCTTAATAACCTAACCCTTGATCTCAATAAAAGCTTTCGTGATTTGCCTTTTGTTCTAAACATGACAATGACTGGTGATCAATGTAATTAGAATGCTTCTGTTTGAGTAGAAGTTAACTTACTTTTGGTTGCTTGGTTTGTTCTAAGGGATAAATTTTAAATGGCCAATTTGGATGTCAAAATATCATTAACTGAGCCACAGTCCCACCTCCTGACCTGGAGTCATACAGTGTTCTCCTTCAGTTCATTCCCCACCCCCCACCCCAGGACAGAAGCTGCTAAAGTGGTACTTCCCTTCAAAATTATTACAAAGAAATTAATACATATTTTTTATCTCCTACTATACTACTTTCTTTTATTTATTTATTTATTTATTTATTTTTTCAACGTTTATTTATTTTGGGGACAGAGAGAGACAGAGCATGAACGGGGGAGGGGCAGAGAGAGAGGGAGACACAGAATCGGAAACAGGCTCCAGGCTCTGAGCCATCAGCCCCGAGTCTGACGCGGGGCTCGAACTCCCGGACCGTGAGATCGTGACCTGGCTGAAGTCGGACGCTTAACCGACTGCGCCACCCAGGCGCCCCTATACTACTTTCTTTTAAAACCAATATAGAAGAGTGAGCTTATCTCTCCTGGTTTCACTACATTTAAAAATATACTAATAATTTGTAGTAAACATTTCCAAAATTATGTGAATAGAACCTCAGATCAGTATAATTTCTGCGAAAACACACATGCTACCTGGAACCTGAATTTTACATTGGATTTATTTTTTCAAGGAAAGGAAGGCACATTAGAATTCTATGCTTCAAATCCTGTAAACAAAAGCTATTTCTGTGAAAACCCGGAGGGTTCTCTGAGAGGTGGGACCACTCATGCATATTTCTATGCTCTATAGGACTTGCCCTATTTGTTTATTGGTTGAAGAAATATATGGCATAAAAGAATTTCGTTCCAGTGTCATCATTATTCTAGTCAACCTTTAACAGGGTCAGTCTTTAATTATCTGTTTTGGCTCAACTAACTCTGCAAAAGAAGATAAAGAATAGCCTGATATTACTGTTATTGCACATTTTCTGTTGGTGAAGTCTGGCTCATAGGCCAGAGGACAAGCTATGAAAAGTACATGAAAAGAAGATAAGACACATTCAATAGATAGATGGGGCAGTTTGCTCTGTTACGTAGACGTTTTCCTACTTTGGGTGTCCCATTTCCCCTTTGTTGAAGAATTTTGTAGTGTCATTTATTCATTTCTGTTTAGGTGTGCAAATATTTTTATTTAAATACAAAGTCACAAGGATGAATACTTGTTGAATTTCATCAAGACTCTTGACTGAGCGAGCATCAAGGTGTGTGATGCCAATCTTGGGAATCAGCAACCATGTGCTGTTTACCTCCTAGAAGTCCCAATATAGGGAAATAGGAAGGTTGACATTGTCTGTAATCTCAAACATATAAATAATAATTAAAAAAATGTAAACCAAGTCCCAACTAACCAAGTTAAATATTCAAATATCATTACTATTATATTTTAGGTAAAAATATTATGCATGATTATGTCAGTTGTCCAACTTACTTTCCTTACAGAAGTATGGACATTGTCTTTAGAAATTTCAACCTAGTATAGATATAGTGTAGTTGAAACAGCACTAATATAAGAACCAAGAAACGAGTTCCAGTCTTGATTTTGGCTAAGTGACTTCTTGGGGTCTTGTATTCCTGGTATGTAAAATGAAGGACTTTGTTGTGTTTCTTAAGAGTAAGTGTGGCAGGCGCCTGGATGGCTCAGTCAGTTAAGCGTCCAACTCTTGATTTCGATTCAGGTTGTGATCGCAGGGTCATGGGATTGAGCCCCACATTGGGCTCTGCACTGAGTGTGGAGCCTCCTTAAAATTCTCTTTCTCTTTCTCTCTCTCTCTCTCCCCTTCTGTCCCTCTCCCCCACTCACGCTTGCTCTCATTCTCTCTCTGTAAAATAAAAAAAGAAAAAATAAGTCTGGCAATTTGAGTGACAAATATTTGCCACTTCATAATATCCTCACCTAATCTCCACCTGCCACCTACCACCATTTCTCAAAATTGTCATTAAACTCTTCTTTCAGCTTTCAGTAAAGCTTCCTCCTCAGTTTTCTACCTCATTCTGGAAATATAATTTTATTATCTAGAAGTACAACCTTTAAGAAAATCAAGTTGATGCAATAAATCAAATGTTTATGATTTTTATCTAGCTCATATCAAATATTTGGGGATTTTAAATACCATTGTTAATGTGTTCTGTATATTTTATAGAATTTTTAGTATTAAAACTATCAGTAATCTGACAACAAGCAATGGAGGAATGGTACATTATATACCGCCTTATCTAATACACAAACATATTAGGTTCTGATGTGAAATCAACAATACAGAATAGATATTAATGTGTATGATATGATAATAGGATTAATAATGAAGTACAATTAAGGTGTAATATTTTTTTTTCAACGTTTATTTATTTTTGGGACAGAGAGAGACAGAGCATGAACGGGGGAGGGGCAGAGAGAGAGGGAGACACAGAATCGGAAACAAGCTCCAGGCTCTGAGCCATCAGCCCAGAGCCCGACGCGGGGCTCGAACTCACGGACCGCGAGATCATGACCTGGCTGAAGTCGGACGCTTAACCGACTGCGCCACCCAGGCGCCCCAAGGTGTAATATTTTTAATGCTGCTGCTTCTCCATATAGGCAGATATGTTTTATTCCAGAGTCACTTGAGTGGCTCTCTCAGACAAACATAAAGCATCATGGGGAATGAGAGCGGCAGGATGTCTTGTTTTTGTCATTTGGCCCAAACTACATTTTTTCCCCAAATGGAGTTAAGGGTATGAGTAGACTGGAAAGGAGAAGGGGGGTTGTCAGGAAGTGAAAAAATTTACACAAAAAAACTTCTGGGATTTAAGCAGCAATAAAAGCAATAATCCCATTTTCTTTTCCCCAAGATTTTTTGTGTCGATCTTGCCAAGATGAAGAACTGACCAGGAAATATAATATGGAAATGGAACTCAGGACTCCAAAGGAAACTCCAAGAAAAGAGAGGTGAGCATTCTGAAATCATCTCAACATTGAGGATCAGAGGGAGACAGATTTCCCAGATGCTTGCCTTTTATTTTCTAACCCTAACATCAGACTTTACCAGGGCACTTGGAAAAGGTTGACAGATGTTTTGGTTGTTTCAGGACTCTGGAAATTTTAACAGTTGTGCTAGCCTTCATACCACTTGTAAATTTTCTTTTAAAACTCTGCTATTTTGTGGCGCCTGGGTCGCTCAGTTGGTCAAGCGTCCAGTTTCAGCTCAGGTCATTGATCTTACAGTTCGTGGGTTTGAGCCCTGCAACGGGCTCTGTGCTGACAGCTCAGAGCCTGGAGCCTGCTTCAGATTGTCTCCCTCTCTCTCTCTCTGCCCCTCTCCCACTAGTGCTCTCTCTCTCTCTTTCTCTCTCTCTCAAAAGTAAATAAATGTTAAAAAAAAAAACCCACAAAAAACCTCTGCTATTTTATTTATGTTTATGTTTCTGGTGGCTTTCTCATCCTTTCACTGTTCCAGGAAGGATAAAAGCAGCAATGTGACTTGTTTTTTCCTTGGAGGGGCATATTATATTCTGGAATTTCATTCGTTGGTTTCTTAGCTCTCTGATAAGACTGTTAAAAAGAAAAAAAAACTATAATTTTAGAGGTGCTTAGGTGGCTCAGTCACTCTTGATTTGGGTTCAGGTCATGATCCCAGGGTCATAGGATCAAGCCCTGCATTGGGCTCTCTGCTGAGCATCCAGCCTGATTAAGATTCTCTCTCTCTTCTCTCTCTCTCTCTCTCTCTCTCTCTCTCTCCCCCTGTCTTTCTCTCTTTCTCTCTCTCTCTACCTCCTGCCCCGGCCCCTCTGCCCACTCACACATGCTTTCTTTCTCTCTCTCTCAAATGAAAAAAAAACCTATAATTTCATAGTTTATCTTGATTTTTCTTGTTTTACGGGTATAAGTAACATTGTCTTCTTCCTTTTCTTAATAAAAGAAACTAGATTCTACAGCTATAGTAAAGTTCCTCTTGTGGATATTAAATGTGGATTCACATGTATGTGTTTAGAGAAAATAAAAACTAGAAATTACACATATGTGATTAAGTAGAAGGAAAAATGAGGAAACCAGTGAGGCCACAAGAGGAACTTTATTACACCTGCAGAATCTAGTTTCTTTTATTAAGAAAAGGAAGAAGACAATGTTACTGATATCTGGAAAACAAGAAAAATTCGTGTGTGTGAATTTATTTATTTTTTAGCATTTATAAGGGCTATACTATAGCATATTGTAAGGCAACTTGCTTTTTTCATGAACTATGATGTTTTGAGACCCATACATGTTTGTATATGCAACACAAAGCTTTAAAATAAAAATATTCTTCTTTCCTTTGCCTAGTCTTCCAAATTCAATGATACCAAGATTTAAAATGAGATGATAAAAAACTTTTTTTTTTTTTTTTTTTTAGAAACAGAGAGAGCATGCAAGCAGGGGAGGGGCAGAGAGAGAGAAGCCTAAGCAGGCTCCATGCTTTCAGCACAGGGCCTGACGTGGGGCTCAGTCTCACAAGCCATGAGATCATGACCTGAGATGAAATCATGAGTGGGATGCTCAATTGACTGAGTCACCCAGACACCCCAATAAAAAACTTTTTAAAGACATGCCAAGAGATTATAAATTATGCTCTGCTCCCATTAAACTGGTATTGCACGCATGAGAGGCTAAAAGGATGAGTTTTAAAGAGCCAGTAGTAAAGGTTTCCTTAAAGGGTGCTGTCTGCATGTTATATCATGGGAGAGAGAAGGGTAAAATCACATTCCGCTTAGGCCAAGTGAAAGTAGGAAGCTTCTATACAACTGCTTTTCCCAGGGAATTAATGGTACAAAGAACAGTTTCTGACTCACACTTGAAATTTGAGAATAACTGAAGTAGTCTGTCTGGTAACACCTAAAGGCATGCCTGCACTGGTGATATTTTCCATTTCCAAATCTCAGTGGCTAGGATGGAAACCACAGGTAAAGGCTAGCTGTGGGTTGTCTTAAAAGGGCTTTCCATGAAAAGTCAACTGTGGGGAGTGAAATAACTCCAATGGAAAAATGGACTTGAAATCCAGGATTGCTAGAACTTTGTCAAGACAACTACCCTAGGTTAAGGGAAATCTCCAGAAACAGCATTCTCCTAAGATCTGTAAATGCCCTTTTCATGGTATTTTCCTTTTCAATTAATGTTTTTAACTCCTTCATTTTCAAAACTGTATTCTTATATTATTTTTCTCATATTTATATATTCATCTAATTTTGGCTTATAGAAATGTTTATTTGGACCTACCCACCATTCTTCTTGACTAGAGTAGAATTGATTAGCTAGGTCTGCTCATTAACCTTTATAAATTAATGTTATTTCCCAGATCAGCTGTAAGTAAAATATTCTATTTCATTCATATCTGCTTTTACATTTACTATTTTGCCTCCTAATATCTGGAGTTTACTTTTCCTAGCCTAGGGGAGCTAGATAATAGATGAAATATAGATAGATAGATAGATAGATAGATAGATAGAGGATAGATAGATACTAGATCCAAACTTATTATTTTAAGGCTATACATTTCACTCTAAATTTTGGTTAGGTTGCCTCTAAGGGGTTTTACTATATGTTCTGAGAACTATAGTTCTTAGTAGTGTAAACACTATGTTATTAGGTTATTTGGAAGTGAGTTATTTCACCAAATGAAGGGTAAGGAAGTAGATAGATATTATTATTACTTTTAAATATTATTTCTTTGTGGTTATAAAAAGTACTCTATAGGGTATTCATATTTGAAACTTATGAGAATTATTTAATTCACAATAACAGATTAATTTAAACATTACATGGGCACAGAAAAGGCTTTAAAATGCTTGAAACTCTCAGAGCAATACTTCACTTCCTTACATAAAAATAAAAATATATTGAATAAAGAAATTTAACAAAAATAAAAACATTTTAGTTGTTTTAAACAACTAAAGCTTCTTGAAATTATTACTTCTTTAAATTTAATATATTTTACTTTTTACCCTCACAATTTCTGATAACATCACATTCTTTTGTTAAGAATTAATATTTCATCTTGCTGATATATATTTTATATGATTTATTTCAAAGGATGATTTTGAGTGGTAAATTCCCTTCATCTTTCCTGTGTTTAAAAATGTATTTATGGGGCGCCTGGGTGGCGCAGTCAGTTAAGCGTCCGACTTCAGCCAGGTCACGATCTCGCGGTCCGTTAGTTCGAGCCCCGCGTCGGGCTCTGGGCTGATGGCTCAGAGCCTGGAGCCTGTTTCCGATTCTGTGTCTCCCTCTCTCTCTGCCCCTCCCCCATTCATGCTCTGTCTCTCTCTGTCCCAAAAATAAATAAAAAACGTTGAAAAAAAAATTTAAAAATGTATTTATTTTGTAATCATCAATAAATACTTTGGGTATGGAAAACACTGGTTGCCAATTACTTTTTCTAAGCACTTTGAAGATATTGCTCCATTTTATCCTGGCTTCTTATATTATTGCTGGTGAGAAGTCTGAAGTCTACTCTGTTTTCTCTTTCTTGTTATTTCTCTGTAAGCATTATATCTTTTCTATGCCTGGTTTATTTTAATTTAATATGGTGCCCACTTTATAATTGTTTGTAATTTATAATCCTGTTGCTCACATTAAATAATTTGAAAACAAGCCTTTGAGGAATGTGAGATTTAATATTAGGAAAATAATACCTTGATCATTTTTCTTCCCAGACTAATTTTCTACTTTTGGCCGAGACTTTGTCATGTCTGTTAGTTTAACCTTCACAGTGTGTCATTTGGGTTTTAGTTGTTTCCCAATATCATTGAAGATTGAGTTTTTGTTCTATTTTTACCATTCTTTTTTTTTTTCTTTTATCAGTCAAGAGATTGTAATAGAGTTAAAATGGGTTTACTTCATCACCTTTACTAGAAAGCAAGGGCTCTTAAGTGACAATATTTGAAAATAGTGTTGTGAGTAGTTTCTATCTTCACCATCAACTTAAAAATTTATGTGACGCAACAAACAATTTAACTTAAAAACATGCTAATTACAAGAGAAATTTTCTGATAAAGATGAAATAAGCCCTACAAAATCTGTTTTTTTTTTTTCTCTTACAAAAATATCTCTAAAACAAATCTTACCTCTGCAGTTTGGTTCAGGATACCAGTTTCCATTTATGCAGGATATTTGCATCTGTGCACTCTTCCCCAAACATCTGTAATTTATTCTGGCATTATGATTATATTCAGGCATCCACGGACTTATCAGTTTTCTTCGATAAAAATTTGGTATTTTGCAACTCTTAAGTTGGTCGGTTGCTATTCAAAAGGAAAATATGGATACATGAGCAGAATATTGAACAGAAACTAGCAATTATTTCAGTAAAATATCTGAAATATTAGCGGTATGATGAAATCATGTTTGGTCCCTTTAGGCCATATCACATAAAACTACTCTTAATTTCATTGCGTAGGCTATACTGGCTGTTGAAAAAATGAGAAAGAAAATGAAAAGCTGTGTTCCATTTTGAATGACAAAAAAATATGTCAAAGTCACTTAGGAAATGGCAATGCAAGATGGATTAGTCTGGTCCAGGGTTTTGACTGGAGAACAGTCCTTATGAAACTTCATTCAGCCTCGTTTTTAAAGGCCATGAAAAGATAGTTGTATCTGATTGTTTCCCACTAAATAACCACATATCTGTGGGAAGTACAGTACTAGGAGAGATAAGTCTGGATTTCCCTCGAGGTTCAATTACTCCCACATTTCAGAAGCTCAGTAAAGACCCTGACCCAAGAACTCAGAGTATGCTCACAGGAAGAATCCCCTGATAACAACACTGTTGAGCCTTAGAACCTGCATTCACAATGGGCCACATGCTTGTCTACATAGTTTTTATTGTTACCATTCTTCCCTTTTGTCCATAAATATGTAGCTCATCACGGAATCTTTCCTTAGCGTGTCCAAGGATGGCATAATGAGACATGAATTGCTCTGCTACTGCTTTTCTTCCAAGTGTTTTTTAATCCATGTTCTAAATCTCCCCTATGTGATGCTAGGGATTGGGTATCTGTATTTCCCTCATATAATAATTGTTGACCATGAGCACATACAATTTACACCTTTTTATAACACAGTCCAGTCTCTCGGGGCTGGAAAACATTCCCTCCCTGTAGGTCATCATGAATTGCCAGTGGCCAAGGTGTCTGCCAGGCTTAAAGAAGCACAACAGCGACAGTTTTCATCACCAGAAGTGGGTAGGTCAGTTGATAATCCAAAAGTCTAGGAAATGAGGGAAGAGAGTGGGTCTGGGTTTTCCACTTTAGAATCTTGAAGAACAGCAACAGAGAGTGCCAGTTTTTAAAGCTCAGAATGAAAGGCTTTCATATTTTGAGATTGCTGGAGATAGGACGAAGGAGAACAGTATCTGAGGGTATCAGGACAAAACTTGCACATACTTATACATTACGGCTGAGAGCCCAAGACTGCTTAAATGCAGTTGAGAGAGCACAGCACACAGCCTGATGGATTGATAGAAAAACCTGAAATAGATTTCACTACTTCTGCGGAAGAAAATGGACAAGCTGATCAGAAAATCTGGAATAGAGTTAAAAGATTTAGAGGCATAGGAAGAGTAAGAATCAGGCCTAGTTCCTAGGTCCTGCCTTCAACTCTTTCTCTAAGAGGAGAATCCAAATATCCCAGACATAAATAGAACTCAGGCTACATGGTTGTTATTTTGGTGGTTGTTTCTGGACCATGTAGAGATAGTTTCATGAACTAAAGAAATAAAATAAAAGAGATTAAGTTGTGATTATTTATAAAAATAAAATATCCAAATTCATTATTAGAACTAATATGGGAATTTAGCAAGATTGCTGGAAACAAAACCAATATACAAAATAAAATATAATCCTGTATATAGAAAGTATAACTCTTCAAATATATAAATTAATAAAAGATCTCATTTGTTTTATCAATAGAATCCCAAAGAACTTAGGGAAAAGCTTATTTAGAAATAATTTTAATGAGAAATGTATATTACTATATATAAATTTTAATATAAGACCTGACTAAATAGATTGATGCATTATATTCATGGGAGGAAGAATCAATAATAAATAAAATTGCAATTCTGGCCAAATTTACAAATTTCATGTAATCCCAAACAAAATTGAACGAGAATTATCAAAGAATTTAGTTTTAAAATACAGATAGAGGGGCGCCTGGGTGGCTCAGTCAGTTGAGCGTCTGACTTCAGCTCAGGTCATGATCTTATGGTTTGTGAGATCGAGCCCCGCATCAGATTCTGTGCTGACAGCCCGGAGCCTGGAGCCTGCTTCGGATTCCATGTCTCCCCCTCTCTCTGCCCCTTCCCTGCTCATTCTCTCTCTCTCTCTCTCTCTCTCTCAAGAATAAACATTAAAAAATTAAAAATAAAATAAAACAGAAAGATTCGGGCATTTTAAAGAATAGTTGCGATGATTATAATAAGTAAAAAAGATTGCTGTAATAATAATGATTTTTTCCATATTACTATAAAAATAGACAAACAGGTTAAGGGAACAGAATAGATAATCTAGAAATAGATATAAATAGGGTACTAGTAAATGGCATGGGGGAAATAAATATTAGTAGAAAATAGAACAGACAATTCACTTAGTATTGACATAGTTTTCCACATCGACACAAAAGTACTCTAATACAACATAAATACAACAACTAAATTTAAAAAAATAAATCTTAGTAATGAGATTTTAATCCTTAGAATAAAAGGGAATATATTTATGCACCTAAAAAATGAGGGATTCCTAAACAAGATACACACAAACATGCAAACAGTCGAAAAAAGAAAGATTGACAATTGAATTTAAACAAAACCCTCCAATGAAAAAGGCATCATAGAGAAAATAAAGCAAAAAAAACTTTAAAACTTTAAAACGTTTGCAATGTAATTAGAGTATTTAATGCAGAACTCAAATCTTAAAAGGAGAAAGAAAACACAAAGTTAAAGAAAAATGTTCATTGCACGTAAGAGAAAATCTAGCTACCGACAAATACTTGAATTTACACTCAATGTTACTATCAGTCAGACAAATGAAATTAAATGCGAGAAATGATTTTGACCCACCGTCTTGGTGCCAGTTCAAAAATATTAAAATACCAAGTGAGGGCAAGAGGAGTAAGGTCTCCGTATATATCTGGCAGTACCTTGTAAAATCAAAAGGATCTACAATCCAATACCATCAATTCCACTTGCAGATGTATGTTTTAGGAAACACTGAAGCATGTCTTTTACACCAGGACAAAAAAAAAAAAAAAAAAAAAAAAACCAACAATTTCCATTTCCAATAGGGTAATGAAGTGATAAAGCAAGGTATGTTCTCAAGGTAGATTACAACACAGTAAAATTACAATGTTGAAGAAAAAAGCACTTTGCAGGTAGACAATAATTTTGCATAAGCTTAGGGGAAAAAAACACAAAAATTTCCTCCAACACACACACACACACACACACATATATATATATATATATATATCAAAAAGTAGAATGGAAAGTACAAATTCTACTTTCTGCTTGATTGGAATTTCCCTTGGGAGGATGATAGGATAATGGATACTTCTGTTTTTCTTTCATGTTTTCATTTCAATGATTTATTCTATTACAAAATACTTAAAGCAAATAATGTCAAAAATATCAATTGTGAATAGTGTAACACAGATGTTTTACAGCATTCTTTTTTTCCCCATTTTTTCAACTTTAACCAAAAATTGAATCAAAGTACCTTGGCTATGCCTTCTCATCTAGAACCCCTCTGGGACTACAACGCGTTTAGGCTGAGGAGGAGAGATGAGGACAAGTTTTGAGACATTAATTCAATCAAAATGTCAAGCAGCGTCTATATAGACTTCCTATGTGTATGGCAAAGTCTAGACCAACAGAAGGTAGAGTGCGGGTATGTGAGACAAAAAAGAGAGCTGATACCAAGTGCACCGTGCCCCAGAGGAGGAGCTTGTGGGATAACAACCAAAAATAATTATGAAATGAGTTACTGACACAGAATCTTAACACTTTATGCAAATAAAGTAATAAAGTATTGCATAAAATACTTTATGCAAACCTAAGCGAATGATTACTCAGGCAGTGAATTAGAGATTGGGTCCATACAGATGAGCCCTGATATTCTGGCACTTTATAATCTAAACGGAAGACAAGTATCTATTAGGTACATGACAATGATAAATGTACAGACAGACAACACAGTGGAGAGGCTATATCATTCTACTAGAATTTTGCGATGAGCATATGGGTACTGGAAAATAAACCAGGAGAGGTTACAGAGGTGAGTGAATTTTGAGTTGACTCTTAAAGGTGAATAGTTTTGCATATGATTACAGCGGAGAAAGACATTTCAGGAAGAGAGCAAAGGCACGAATGAGGAAAGGCACAGAGATTTAAAAGAACATGGCTTATCCAGAAGCTAAGGAAAATCCATTTTGCATGGCTCCATCACATGGTGAAGATAGGATCCAGCAGTAGATACCTAGGAAAAGCAATCTGATGCTACTCCGAGCAGAAGTCCCGAACTCTCCTGGTTCACAGAGCTCTTAGCATCTCAGTAATTTTTCACAGTGTTCATAGGTCAAAGAAAATCTTTCCAAATTCACTTTCTTAAATAATTAGGAGCAAACAACTTAGTAAGTATCTTATATCCTGTTTAATACCTGATGGGCACCAGCATGTGCTGGTGTGACTATATTTATTGACTTAAAAAATTATAAACAATCAAATACAAACTTAAGAAATGTATTCTCACCAACACACTTGGGAAGTTCAGTCCACATTCCATCAATACAAGTAATTACATTATTTCCAACCATTGTATATGCATTTCTGCAGTGCAGTTCCACAGAAACACCAGGTCGATAGGGAGGGACTGAGGGCTGGGCATAGCCATTCTTGAGGTGAGGTACATATCCACATGTTTTCACGTGTTCTAAGAAAATGTAATAAAAGATCTGCTTACTTTTAAAATATTTCAAATATATACATGTAAATATATATATATATATGAAAAGTGCAAAGTTTAAACTGTTGTGTTTAAACACTAACATCTATTTACCAAAACAAGTAGGCAGATTTGTCCATTCTCCATCGATGCACTGTATGTTCTTAGGCCCCATCATTAGAAAAGCAGGATTGCAATCATACTCCACCATTTCACCGTGTTCATATTCTTCTTTCCTTATCTGTTTTGTTTTACCATTGGGGAGTTGAGGGGGTTGACCACATGACTGCACTTGCTCTATCACAAAGAAATTGTTTAAATAATGCTTAAATAGTCTCATAAATCTGGCAAAACGTGGAGTTACTATTTTGGTTGACCTAGAACTAAATTACATTTATGCTACCTTCCTATTTTCTTCAGGTTTGCTTTTTATAGTGTACATAGTGTATTGTGTAAAGTCTATTCTTTTTCTCAAATATTGATGCCTTTTTTATAAATAATTCTGAGCAAAGAAAGATGCACAATGAACACATATACCGATCACCTAGATATATATGAATGTTACATTTTGCCCAATTAATTTTTTTGTGAAGTAATTTAAAGTAAATGACAGACATAGTAAGACTTGACTTCTAAATTCTTCAGAATACCTAAGAAATAAGAACACTGACCAGCATATACAAAACATCTTATTGTATTTCTTTAAGTTAACAATTTTTAGGGCAATCTTATCTTCTTTCTATATGCAAATATCCTGATTGCGCCTACCCCCCCATATTGTGCAGGTTATTATAACCAAGATACTAATTGTACCCTTGAAGATTTTAAAGTAGTTCAATGATCTGGATATCATATAAAAGTAAGTAGTTGTCAAATATGTGATATGATATACATATGCAATTATAGTTTTTATTAATTAATATCTTTAAATATATAAAATAACTATCAAAAATTTTGAAAAAGTAATGTCATCTGAAGCAAGTAAAAAATCATAATTCTTTTATATTGAATAATCCATATGTTTATTTGATTACTTCTTAATTACTTAATAAAACATAACAAGGCCCACACAATATTTTTTAAAGTATTCTTTTTTTAAATTGAGTTTGGGGAAAAATCCCTAACATTTCTCAGTCCCAGTGACTATATTTTGATCTATAAAACTCCATTACATATTTCAAAGCACAGAGGTAGAATTACCCCTTGATAAAGGAAACATAACTAATCTATGACCCAGCATCCCTCCTTCTTCTCAATTAAAATACTACTTTTGCCATTTTTTTTGCAGTTTGTCAGATTATAGATATAAGATCCGATAAAATACATAGACATTAATATAAAATTTTATAAGTTGTTTCATCAGCTCTAAAATAAATATTGACCTTTACATGTTGGAAAATTAGGTGACCATCCAAAATGATAGCATTGAACTGAATCTGGTCCAACTCTTATAAGTCCTTGTCTGCAGGAAAATTGCAACACATCTCCAGGTATGTATTTTTCTTGTTTTGGATAAACATGTATGTTAGCTTCTAAAAATGGAACAAGACATTCTATATCTAAAAAAAAATAAAAGTAAATAAATATGTGTGAAATAATCATTGTGAAATTAAATTTAATATGTGCAATACAAAAATAAGATTAGGGGGACTTCATACGCAGAGATGCTTATATTCTTACCTTCAAAAAATAAGCTAATTATTTACACCCAATAAATATGTGTAAGCCCCTCTTAAGAAATTAAGATTTTGAACAGCAAAGTAAAATTTTGTATGACAATCTCCTCAGGACCATAATAAATAAGATTTGAGCAGTTACTTATAAATTATTTCACTTATTGAATTAAATATAATTTTAATAACTTTTATTATTTGTCTATAAAATAGCATATGAATAGTTTTCACACTCAGATCACATGAAAATCATTCTTTCAAGTAATAAAAATTAAAATGCAGCATATTTAACTAAATGATACATATGTTTAAAAAGTTAATAACTGGAATGGCCCAAAGAAGACACATCTAGTACATTTTAAGTAGGAGGGAACATTAAAAAACAAAAACATTCCTGATTTTACGAATGGGGAGCTGTATGTAGTATATGGACTTTTTGAAAAAAATGGCTAAGCAACATGGCTAAGTTGCTTCTAGGTGTTCTGAATCTTTCCATTATACCCAACCACATCTATAATATCTTTCTAAACCACATCTATAATAACTTTCTAAATACCAATGCATTATGAATGCCTTCTGGTTCAGGTAAAAATGGATATATATATATGAATATGTATGTGTATTTTTCTCTTCTAATCTGCATTCGTGGTTCATTTATAAAATTAGATATTGAAATTCACATGTAAAAATACAAATGGCATTCAAGACAAATACTCTCAAATCAAGCACAAAAATATGATGAAATATTTTCTAATTAAATCTCAGAAATACTATTTAAACTAGCCAGTTTTATACATTGTTATCAGCAATTTAAAATTTTTTTTTTCAACGTTTATTTATTTTTGGGACAGAGAGAGACAGAGCATGAACGGGGGAGGGGCAGAGAGAGAAGGAGACACAGAATCCGAAACAGGCTCCAGGCTCTGAGCCATCAGCCCAGAGCCCGACGCGGGGCTCGAACTCACAGACCGTGAGATCGTGACCTGGCTGAAGTCAGAGCTTAACTGACTGCGCCACCCAGGCGCCCCTGTTATCAGCAATTTAATAGTTTAATAACAGTTTGTACAAACCCCCTGGAATGTGACTCACTCAGCTTTAGTAAAATTTGTACCCATGCATCTCTGTGTTTTATTCCGATAATTTTGCATGACAGTTCTTTACTTACTGGTTGTTTACATTCCCTTCCTTACCCAATTGCAAAAAAAAAAAAAAAAAAGCTATTGAAAATAATTTATCTTGGCTGATATAGGATTTTCTAGCTGCTTTATTTAAGTGTAATTATCACACAGTGTTGTAGACAGAATAATGGCCTCCCCAAAATGTCCACGTCCTAATCCCTGAAACCTGCAAATATGTTACCTTTCCTTGGAAAAACAGACTTTACAGAAATGATTAAATTAAAGGACTTGAGATGGAGAGCTTATTTTGAATTATCTGTGTGGTAGTGGACCCAATGTAATCACAAGGATTCTTACAAAAGGGAGCAGAGGTGTCAGAATCAAAGTAGGCAATATGACAACAGAAGCAGAGGTTGAAGTGATATGACGAAGGGCCATGAGCCAAGAAATGCAAAGGGCTTCTAGAAGCTGTAAAAGTCAAAGAGATCGATCCTTTCCTAGGACTTCCGGAAGGAAACATGATTCAGTATCTTGCTTTCAGGACTTTTCACCTCTAGAAATGTAAGATAATAAGTCTGTATTGTTTTAAGTAATTAGGTTTATGGTAATTTGTTACAGCAGCAGTAGAAAACTAATACATATGGGAAAAAATGTACAACCATATTTAAAAGGCGCATGATTTGGCATGACCTGAGGCATTCTGGGCTGCATTTGAATCAAAGACTTTGTGCAACACCAAGAATGAACTCTAATGTAAGCTATGGACTTTGGGTAATTGTGATGTGTCAATTGTCAATAGCACTCTGGCCTGTCAAGTTGAAAATGGGACAGATTATCTTGCATGTGTGGCACAAGTAGTATAGAGAAATCTCTATACCTCCCCCTCAATTTTGTCATGAAACCCAAAACTGCTCTAAAATAAACAAAAACACCAAGTCTCTGGCTATAAACTATGAGTTAATAATCCAATGACACGGAAGAGGATGAAAGTCAAGGAATAAAGTATCTAAAGTGGCTGCAGCATGTATAACCAACTATAAATTTGGTAATGTTTGCTTAGTTTTGAATTATGAGGCAGTTTTAATTCAAGGTACCTTGAAAATAGCTTTAATTTTGGTCATAAATATTATAATGTACATGGCATATAAACAATCTTATTTTGGATGGGCTAAGTGCTTTTCAAAGATCTGTTATTATATCAACATTTAATGCTGGTCTTTTAAAGCTATATGGAGACACCGTAAATTTAGATTATTGTCCATTAGGAAATATCTTTCAAAAGAGTCTAGTGAAAAGAAATATATTCAGAATTGCTTCCATTTCCTGAATAAAAAAGTACTTACGATAGCATGTGGGCAAATGACAACAGACATATTCACTACATACCATGAAATCTATGGTGCTTCCAATCTGTTTTTATTTTCTAAGTTTATTTATTTATTTTAAGAGTGAGAGAGAGAAAGAGAGCAAAAGAGAGAGCATGAGTCGGGGAGGGGCAGAGGGAGAGGGAGAGAGAGAATCCCAAACAAGCACTCCACCATTAGCACAGAACCCAATGTGGGGCTCAAACTCCAGAACCATGAGATCATGACCTGATCCAAGAACAAAAGTCAGATGCGTAGCCAACTGAGTCACCCAGGGACCATGAAGAAATTTTTAATATATATATTTTTTTCTCTAAGCAAAAAAATAAATAAATTTTTATAAAAATGGATAAGCATATTCTGATTCAGACAAAAACCACTGTCAACTACAATATCTGATTTTAAATATTTTTATGAAAAAAACCACACTGAAAATATCAGTGTTTGTTTAGTAAATATTGTCATGATAAGTTAATAAATATGGCCATTAGGAGAAAAAAAATAAGGGTTATGCCAGGGAAACTACAACCTAGAATTATTCTTTCAGTCCACACTTTTAGTTTATTGAAAATAACTGTGGGCGTCTGGGTGACTCAGTTGGTTGAGCACCAAACTCTTGGTTTCTCGGGTCATGATCCCAGGGCTGTGGGATTCAGACCCACATAGGGCTCCACACTGAACATGGAGTCTGCTTAAGATTTTCTCTCTTTCTCCCTCTGTCTCTCTCCCCCGTTCATGCTCTCTCTCCCTCTGAAGTAAAAAAATAAAATAAAATAAAAATAAATTAGCCATAAATCCTCAAATAAAACATTCTAGGAAACAATGTAAAGTATATTAAGTTTTATATACAATAAGGTAGATTATAAATAGATGTATTGTTTTCAAAAAAAAGACGAGAGCAAAGAATTCTTGTCAGTAGAGTTTTAGCATGCCCAAGAGAAATCCAATTCAGTAATCTAGTAATTTCCTATAAAGTGTTATGGGTGATTTGCAATAAATCAGACCCCTTTATTAGGTTTCACACTGGTTTGGGGTTACTGGTAGGCAGAATTCATTTAACTTGGGAGTATCAGACCAGGTCCTGCATCAGACCAAAAATGGCATGGAATTCGTAACCGGAAAACCAAATAGTAAATAATAAATAGTAAAACAATTGGCTCTAGAGGATTGGGATATGGAAACAGTGCAATGAGAATACAAAAAGGAGTCCATGTATAACTCATGTGAGGTCAGAGGTTTTTAGGTAGACTGTTTATTCCTTTAGTTAAGTAGTAGTGTTCCATGAATCGATATGCTCCTTGTTTTTACTGTAAATGACTGTGGTGGGCTAAGTTAAGGATCTGGAGATGGGGAGATTACCCTGGATTATCCAGGTGTGCCTGATTTGATCAGAGTGATCCTGACAAAAGGCATGCAAGAAAAGTCGAAGTCAGGCAGAAAATGATGTGACCACAAAAGGAGAGGAACAGGGAGAAAACTATTTAAAGGAGCCAAACTGCTGGCTTTGATGGGGGAGGAAGGGGCCCCAAACCA